TATGGACGGCATGGTAGACTAATGGCTAGCCAATCATCTGTCCTTAACTAAAAGTGTGACAGATCACTCTGTTCATAGGATTCACTTCCCCAAAGAGGAAGAATATGACACAAATGAATCCTTGCTCGATCGCTGTCTCGACCATTCCATCTCATGAGATTAATCTAGATTATCTTAAGACCTGAAGTTCTTGGTTTTATACTAGTTTGGGTGAGGTACCGAATTGGAATGAGATTATGATTAATGATGTATCACTTATATGGTAGCTACTGACATAAATCCAAAAGCGATGATATCGAACCCTGTTCCGTTGTAGTGACAACGTAGAACTGATTGGTCAAATTACAATCCAAGTTGAATTAGATTCCTTATTAAGTGTGTTTTCCTACACTATCCAAGGTAACCTTGTTGTGTTACAAGTGGGAAAGGAAGCGTAATGAAATGATACGAAATAATGCATGCCTTATAGCGCAAGACGTCTTATAAATGCCCTGTGATTGATTGGAGATTATGAATGTAGTTATAATGTATCTCAGTGGGATCTTGATATGGAGATTTACATGTAAGTTCTTGAAGAATTACATGGACATGTTCAAATAATTCTAGACCACATAACACCCTTTCAACTAGAATGTGGCTTTCACTTTATGGGATAAAAAAATCCGGGAAGATTTGGTATACTCGTCTAAGTGATGCAAATGACCATCCATACGCTAGATGCAAATGAGACCCTTAAAAAGGTTGTGGAACCCAAAGTTTCATATCTAAGTTCGCTTTATGCATTATTGTACTTAGCTTATTGCATTAGGTATAACATCTTCTAAGCTGTTGATTTGTTAGCAAAATACAACACTGTGCCTGCACGCTGCCATTAAGTTGGAATTAAACACATTTACCCACCCTAGAGGCACTACGAATTTGGTCTTATCTTTACTTATTCTGAGCCAATCCCACCTTCTTGATCCTCAGAATGACGCTTGCTTGTTTGTTATGCTAATGTTGGTTCATTTTCAAAGTCGCATAAGACATGTTCCTAAATGGTTATGTCTTTACTGTTTGGGAATACTGCAATATCTTGGAGGTCCACATAATTGACCTTAGTTGCAATGTCTTCGACCTTTGCTAGTTCATCACCCTACATGATGCCGCACGTGTACATGGGAGTCATTTCGAAGCACTATGCCGTGTGTAATCATCCATTGTTAAGTCCTAACAATGATTTATGAAGACTTATCTTTTATATTGACTAGACGATCCAAGAAGTCAACACCAAGAGTATTGCTCATCAAAATTTTTCTTCACTCATTAGAAAAGAATTAGAAGATTGAAGTCAAGCAGATTCGATCCCAACATAGCCTTGTCGATCGTTACACAAAGTCACTGCCGATGTCTACCTGTTAGAAGCAACCAAGGTATTGGATTGTGTGACCTATCTCATTTCCCACACATGTAGTTCTCAGAAAGAGTTTTGTCGAACTCAGGGCGAACATCTTGAAGTATACTCACTTGGCCATAATGTACTTTTTTTTCCCTTAGATTAGGAACAATTTTCCTACTAGGTTTTTGCTAACCCGACAAGGTTTGAACGAGACACCCAATTTGTGCTGGTCAAACCCCTATATGTGTTTTCTAATACTTGATGCATCTTGAAGATGTCAAGTATTGACATTGCATTAACTCTCCTTTTTCTCCTTAGACTATGGGTTTGTCCCACCGTGTTTACCGTAGCCAAGTTTTGGTGAGTATCTCCTTATATGCACCTTTATTTTGAGACTCGCGTATGCATTCCATGTGCCGAAAGAGAATTGACAATAACAACTGCCATCTCCTGATCATGAAAACCTGATGTGACAACTTTTTAAGTTGTACACACTCAAGGGGGAGTACTGTAAATACTATTTTATTGTTAGTGTGATTTTGTAAACTTAGAGTAGGTATCCCAATATAATTTGAATATATATCAAATTCTCATAAACTTTGTATTAATTGTAAGGCAAGAAAGTCGATCATTATTAGTATAAATAAAGTCATTAGATATAAGGAATGGGACACATAATTGATAGGAGCATATTTAGGCGACTTACTTAGCTTGTTTTCGTGCATCTATGTTGTTAATTCATAGTTGTTTTAGTAGTTTAAGCCATTTTCGTGTGTTTTTAGGTTCATATGGCTAAGGAAGCAAAAAGATGCATTTTGGAGCGTTTTGGAGCAAAATTGGGCTTGGAATGGATAGCATATGATTGGAGCCAAAGTGTTGGACGAATTTGAAGGCCTTGTATTCATTTTGGACATAAAACAAAGGGCCTAGCCCATTCTCTCTTAAACCAACCCCAAGGCCATGCATTTCCTTCCAATTCCAAAGCCCACAATCACTTCAAAAGCCATGCAAAGAACCATCCATTCCATAAAAAACAATCCATCAATTCACATGCAAAACCACCATTAACACACATGCACCCAAACAAAGCCAACCTAGCTAACCCTACATGCATTCTTTATGCAACTCTTCATCATTCCACCATTCATTCTTTATTCCACAAACAAGTCACATGCATTTCCACCTTCCTACTTCATCATTTCACCACATTCTCCCTCTTTAACTCATTTCATTATTCATTCACTTTGCATTCATTCAATTCCACCCCACATGCACCCTTTATTCTTCATCATTGCAACCATGGCACATTTACACCAACAAAACAACTCCCATGCCATGGCCTACTCATATTCCCATTTCCTTTCCAACATCTCACATGCATTTCCACCTTCCTACTTCATCATTTCACCACATTTTCCCTTTTATTTCCACATGCAATTCTTCATCATTGTAGCCACAAACACCTTAAACAAATAGCCATATACATCTCCACTCCTCCTATAAATACCCTTGCATTCATTCATTCAAGGATCATCTCATCTCATTTCATACACAACACACCACAAACATTTCCATTCTCTCCTTAGCCATGAGTCTCCCTTAGAATCCAAAAACCATCTTCCATTTCCACTACTTCTCATCCATTTCCATAATTTCCCAACACTTCCATCCCCCCAACCAACTATCCCTAGACCTTATGCTACAATAAAGAGGAAGATAAGAGGGCCTAAACGTTCATACAATTCAAGATTGAGTTGTTGGAATGTTTAGGCGTTTCTTTGATTTCAATGTTTAATTTCAATTCTCTTTGTTTTGTACGTATGAGGAAATAAACCCCCTTTAGCTAGGGGGTGATTCGAAATATATGTTTATGCTTGCAATATGATTTGAGTACTTCTAATTACGTTTCATAAGTTGTGAATTCAATTTGTTTAACTATTTGATTGATAACCTATTTATGTATGTTTATTGAGAGTCGACGCTTAATTTTCATGCATGAATTTGACGCTAGAATATAAGTGAGTTTCACATAATAGTTATGAACTTATATTCACAAGTAGTGGAGGTTGCTTATAAACAATCGCGTTAAACATATTATTGGCATAAGTTTCATGCAATCATAGTAACGAATGCCTCGTCAACACTTATAGTTTTCATGATGCTTAATGATTCTTGCTTGGATCTCTATTATGCAATTCATGTAGGGAACTTGTGAGGAATGCTTTGGGTTGTCGTATGCAATCATCCAATTCATTAACTTAAGGAAAACTTGACGGTTAATTTAAGCGGACCTAATTAACCCGGGGGGTTGAGAATTCATGATTTATTGAAAAGCAATTGGAAATCGTTTTATATGCAAGTATAACATGTATGGAGATGAACCCCTTAGCTAGCCATTCCATCCATTCTATCCCTTCGTTTTATAATTCTTCCTAGTTTATTAACTTGTTTTGTTATTACAATTTTCATCAAAACAAAACTCCCCTTTTACTTTCTTGTTCTTAGTGCTTAGAATCTGTTTAGTTTATGTTTTAAAATGTTTTGAGTTTTTGGTTTTGTCTTAGTGTTTTAAAGTTTAGTTTCACATTCTTTGAGTCTAGTTTAGTGTTTTATATTGTTTTTACGTTTTTGAGTCAGTTTCCAAGAGATTAACAATCCCTCATAATCCCCGGTCCAGAACGATCCCTACTTACATCCATACTACAATTGTCAAAAAGAGGGTTTAATTTGTGTGCGTATAATTCTCGCATCAATAATTTACCAACGTTCTTCTCTCTTTCTCTCTTCTTTAGCCGGCCATCTCTCTATCCTCTCCCTCAATAATTAGTTTCATAATAGCAGTTGAATTGTATATTTTTTTTGAGAGGAGTATGATATTTATTGATATAAGATAAAACCGTACAAAGCGGAGGTAGTGTGCTTAAGTGGGCCTCGATAAAAACCTTGCCGGGGCTTTCAACCCGATTGAACGGAAAAAGAGCGTCCCGCATGAACAACTAACTTTACCTATCCTCACACCAAGAGAGAAAACAAACAAAATTATAAAGAGTTGTCTTCAATAAGAGTATCTAGCAATAGCTCAGGAGCAGTCCCCCTCCATTGAAATTCATCAGTCCTGCCAATCCCATATCGAGCAAGTCGATGGGCAGCGGAATTGGCCTCCTTTCGAGGGTGAGTACTGTAAATATTATTTTATTGCTAGTTGAATTGTATATTTTTAATTATTTATTTTATTGTGTGAAAGACACAAGAGGAAAACGCTAGTCCATTACTCAAACCTCCCGAATATTAAAGTCAACAATGCTTGGTTTCTTTAGGTTATAACTACAATCATTTATGTATCTGATTTGATATTTGTTTAGAAAAATATTAGAGAGACTAAATTTTATAAACTAAATCTAATAATGGTAGAGTCAACGATACAAGTAAGTCTCATTATATGGTCTCCCAAACATTTTTTTTTTAAATGTAATTTTTCCTTGGTAAAGTTTTATTTATATATTTTTGAAATCAGTGAAGTATTCCTCCATTAGCCAAGCTTGAAAAAGACGCGTTCTAACCTTTATTTAGTTTAACATCAGTCTTATACATAATACATGTATCATATATAAAGAGGGAAAGATGCATAAATCTTACATTTATATGTATGTCTATATCATTAAAAATCTGCGACTTCAGTTCGATCGAAATAGCAGCCGGAAGGGCCTCCATGGGGTAGAAGAGTCAACCTGACCAGACCGGCAGCCCCTTCTTCGACAGTCATGGTCCCTGTATGCCAATTGAAGTCTGTATTGACAAAGCCAGGATGCACACAGTTGATGCACATGTTTGGGTACTTGTTAGCAAGGATTCTAGTGTAAGCATTGAGGGTGGCCTTGGAAATACTATATGCAGGCAGCATCATTGTCCATCCATTCGTTTCGAGTTCATTTTGTTTAAAATCATGCAGAAATCTTGCCAAAACTGCATCCACTTTCTCCTCTGTCAATGTTTCTACATCCCCGAGCTCATTTCTTATCTCTTCACTCGGTATCCTCTGCATAGTATTTGATAACTTCGATTAGGAAATTTAAAGTTTTGTTTCATCGTGTGTTGCTAGCTAGGACATTGAAGGAGATCATATCGATTGAGGCTTATTTCCGAGCATCAACAAGTTAATGAGAGGAGAACGACTATTGTCGATGAATGGAATATAGCATTGAGTAAATCTTCTCTTGCCAGACTCATCCAGATAATGAACATTAACCTTTGTTAGATAATTTTTGTTTCATTGTGTTTTTTTACCTTGAGTTCACTCCTTAGGGAGGAGACATTGACGATTCTTGCTCCTAGAGTGGAGAGTTGCAAGAGTGGGAGAAGAGCCTCGGTTAATCTTTTAACACCGTAGTAATTTGTATTCAAACATTCCTCAGCCTTCTCATAAGTGTATTTAATTGCACATTGAATTTGGTTGACTGCTTTCCCTGAAAGCTGAACAAAAAACTTCTTGTAGTTAAAAGCTGCTGCGAATCTTGGTTGTGGTGTGGCGACATATATATCGTATATTTGTGAGAAGACCTAAGACCTACACCTCAAGACATCACTGTGATGTCTCAGACTAATAACACGACTTCATGTATTCTTAGCATCCCATATGGTGTTCCGTAATTAGCTTTGAGACACCACCATGGCGTCCCTATTTTATGCATGTGCTTCTCATGAGAAATATACTGCTATATAACTTACCCAAGTTGTGGAGTCAATGTCTAGAGATTTTAACTCTTTCTCAGACACCAGCACTCCAGTAGCTCCAGCATTATTAACCTGCAGAAATCAAATGGATAATTTAAGTTATACCCACAGATTTTCACTCAATATTTTGGAGGCCAACAAATACTAGCACTATGTTAATATGTTTGTACATAGGAAATGTACCGATTGGCCTAATATAGGGCTAATAAACAAGTTATTTGGCGCACAGGAACCTTTATTTCTTTATTTGCAAAACCTATTATATGTTTCTTGATTCTCCTTAAATAAATTCAACTTAAACACCATAAATAAACAAGAATATGCAACGAAAAATAATAGACGTGTGTTGAAATCACTTTCCTATATTGGTTATCTAATGAAGGTTCTCAAGTTCCGCAGTCTACATGCTCACCACATTTCTCACATATAAGTAAGGGCAAACAAATAAAGTAAATCTCTACACCGCTACCGCAAGAGTAAAGGCAAACCAAAGAAAAATGCCACAAAAGTGATAGACATGACAAATTAGACATTAGATGCACACATGAAACAATCGCTACACCAGTGAGGCCATGTCAAACTATTGCTAAAATAGCAAGGCCACATCAAATCACTGAAGCGAGACATTGATACCTAACGATTGCCATCGTAGGTCGAGCGTAGGTGTTGATTTTAACCTTTAGTTGTTTCAATATTTTTAAAGGGTAAAATTAATTGGTCATTAAATATAAAAAATTGCTGAATAGGAGCAAGAAAGAAAAATTTGGCGTTACCAAGATATCAAGCCTGCCAAATCTGGCGTTTATGAATTTGGCCAAGGAGTGGATGCTAACTGGATTCAAGACATCAAGTTGATGGAAGACAACATTTGACAGACCCAACTGTTGAAGTTTAGACGTTGCTTCTCTTCCCCTCTTCTCATCCCTGGCTGTCAACACCACCACCACCCCTTGAGATGCAAGCTGCCTCACCACCTCAAATCCAATACCCTTGTTTGCACCGCTAACCACCGCACATCTACAGTAGCGCAACCACTATGACAATTTAAAAAACTTTTCTCCTTATTTTGTGACTGTTTGTTTTCAGTTTTTCTATATTTTACTTTTAAAAAATTGAAAACTGAGAGAAATTTTGAAAACTCAGATAGTTATAAAACGAGTTTAAGTTTAAAATAAAAAATAAAAAAAAAACTGAAAACTAAGAACAAAATAGTTATCAAATGTTTCTTTTAGTAACACGTAATCTTGCAAAGAGATAGTTAAATTAATTATAAAAGTAAATTAAAAACTCATATATATAGAGATTATATATGTACCTCTCTGTCTCTGCTCCATATTCTTGATTGCTTCCCATTCTTTGCTGTATATAATGCTTGGATTTGCCTTGTGATGATATATATTGCTTTCTTCCTGAAACTGTGGAGCTCAACGGATTATATATATACTCGATCGAATCAAGTTCTGAGATTTCTTTCTCAGACAAAAACGAAAATATAATTTCCTTTTCTTTCATTAATTATTATCAGCTAATGACAGATTTGCTTGTATTTGGTTTATGTTTCTACATATGGCATGCATGTACCAACCAGAGCCAGTATTTCGGTCAGCAATGATCATCTCATTGGACTGGCTTTCCGAATTCTCCTCTGGCGCGGGTAGGGTTTTTTTATTTTTTTATTATTCTTAGTGGTTGAGGTTTTTTATTTTGGATCAGGATCCTCTCCTAAGCAAATGGTGAGGATCCTTTTGATCAGACTCATTGGACCGTTCAAATTTTATCTAACGACTATAAATAGAGGGTTTATCTAAAAGTTATAATAATTGTAACCATTGGATAAAATTTGAATAGCTCAATAAATCTGGCTAGGAAGATCTTCATCATTTGCTTAAGAGAGGATTGATCCTTTTATTTTAACATTTTCTATCTCTTGAAGTCACATCACTTGAATGGGTCCAAGTTTTATACTTCAATAGTTGATGAGCTGATTACTTATATATATATATAACGCTCTGGTAAGGAGTTTTCTGTTTGATGATAAAAAAATGAAATCTAAAAGTAATGTTTCTCAGTACTCAATAGTAATTAAGATGATTGGCTTAGAAAATAAATTGCCGAAATTTAAAAATAAAATATTTAATAGTTGTAAAAGTACTCTAGGTATATCGTAACACTGAATGCTACAACGAAACAATTATTAAGATCTCCACTTAAGGATGGGGAATTTTTTTTCTAGCGTCCGCCATTTTAAACGGGTATTTCATGTGTTGCAAAATGATTGAAGGAACATCCAAAAATATATTTTTTTTTCACTTATATTATGACCTATAGAGTGCCTCCTAGATACCCGTACTTGAAAAAAATTTCTCCTAAATATGACAGATAGAGTCAAAATAGAGGCAGAAAAACATATTCTTTTATGTATGCAAAAGCCTGCATAATCCATCAAAAAAAAAAAAAAACAAAAAAAAAAAATATCAAAAGCCTGCATAACCTGAAATATTATAAGATTGATGAGTTTATGTTGGTATCTTATATAGGTTGCTACAGTTAATGGTAACTATTAGTAATAAAAAATTCTGGTAAGCATGGTATAAAAGTTAAAATTCTGGTCAGCATGGTATAAAAGTTTCAGTTTTCAACCTGTGGGACATAGGGTACTGAGATGAGATAAAAATATATTCTAGTCTAAGATTTTTTTTTTTTGGACAAATACTCTAAGAATATGTTTAGTTAATATAAATTAGCATTTGCTTACATATTTTGTGTGCATGAACACATTTTTTTATAAAATGAGAAGGAGAGAAGGAGAGAGAGAGAGAGAGATAGAGAATGTGGGGGAAATGGGAGGTTTTTGTTTTTTGTTTTTTTTTTTTAATTTTAAATATTAGAGATATTTTAATATCACCTGTAAGACCAACTCTAATGGTGGGCTAAAAGCCAAATTGCCCTCCAAAATTTCCCCCCAAACCCACTCCAATCCAAGAGGAAATTTTGGGTTAAATACTAAATGCTAAACCAATGCCAAATTCCCCTCAAAATTTAGCCCAGAAATCGGAGTGGACTCCACCCAATATTTATCGGAATTTAAATTTGTTTAGGTTAAAATGTTCATAAAATTAATTTACGATAGTCTACATATTTAAAAAAAAAAATTAATTTAACAAAAAAAATAGCCTAAGTTCATCTTTTAATAATCCCGGGCTAAAATTTTAGGCTAGAACGGTTGAAGCAAAAAAGTTGTTTCTGAGCTAAAAGCTAAATTTTCCGGGCTAAAAAATTTGGCTTTTAGCCCAACCATTGAAGATGGTTTAAGTGAGGCTTCAATAAAAAACAATAAAATTTGGACCTGTGAAATTACATTTTTGCCCATCATTTTTTTTTGTGTGATAGAAGATTAAGTTGCCTTTTCATCTTCTTTTGATTGACAAAGAGTGTCACATCCCGGTCCGGGGCGGATCATTTCCCGGGCCCGCTCCACCACCGTAGCACGATATTGTCCGCTTTGGGCTTACCATTCCCTCACGGTTTTGTTTTTGGGAACTCACGAGCAACTTCCCAGTGGGTCACCCATCATGGGATTGCTCTAGCCCCCTTCTCGCTTAACTTCGGAGTTCCTACGGAACCCGAAGCCAGTGAGCTCCCAAAAGGCCTCGTGCTAGGTAGAGATGGGAATATACATTTAAGGATCACTCCCCTGGGCGATGTGGGATGTCACAATCCACCCCCCTTAGAGGCCGACGTCCTCGTCGGCACACTCGCGACCAGGGTTAGGCTCTGATACCAATTGTCACATCCCGGCCCGGGGCGGATCACTTCCCGGGCCCGCTCCACCACCGTAGCACGATATTGTCTGCTTTGGGCTTACCATTCCCTCACGGTTTTGTTTTTGGGAACTCACGAGCAACTTCCCAGTGGGTCACCCATCATGGGATTGCTCTAGCCCCCTTCTCGCTTAACTTCGGAGTTCCTAAGGAACCCGAAGCCAGTGAGCTCCCAAAAGGCCTCGTGCTAGGTAGAGATGGAAATATACATGTAAGGATCACTCTCCTGGGCGATGTGGGATGTCACAAAGAGTGTTTTATTAATTAATAGAGATTAGAGAATAAAGGAATTGAATTAAGAACTTAGGAATAAGTGAAATTAAAAAAGAGAATTAGATTAATTAGTTCTCTAGTTGTTCCCATTTCATATGTGCTAGTAAATATAAAAAAGAAATGAAAAAGTAAAGTAGTTATTCATAGTACAATACGTACGCATTACGTTGAGCTTTATATTTCACATAATAGTATACCGTAAAGAGATATACATTAAATCTACAATATTGGCAATGCTCTAAGTAGTAAAGAAATGACTACTTAGTACTACAGTCTAGTAGTATTCTTCTTCACTTGTAAGTGAGAGGTCTTAGATTCAATTCTCGCTAAAGGTGAATTTGAACCACATTATTGGTAGCCCATTGTGAGGCTAAGCCGAACCCTCTCCCCATTAGTATATACTATCGTTTGCTAAAAAAAAAAAAACCATAAAAAGCGTGTACATTCTATATCATATATACTTGATGTTAGGCGTGCACGTTGGTAAGAATTAAGAAAACTTGTTCATCAAATATATGTTCACACCATATTTATCAGAACAAACCATTATATATCAAACCAGTGGAGGACAAGGTTGAATGTTAACAACAAACAATTCCAATTAATTGGAAACATCTTCCAGGAAAAAATATGGACTTTAACTAAGGAATCATAATTACATCAGTTATATATAGAATTTAACCTGCCAAGAAATGAGATGTAAGATTTGGCGATCCAATATAGAAGCCTCGCACGAATTCAAGAACGTTAACTCGATCAGCAGTAAATTACATGCAGGAAGCTGGTCCGTAAGTTTTGTTTTCGTAGTCGAGATGAGGAAGCAAACGTACGTGCATGGATTTATATAGCCGAAACTGACAGAGTTGGAAATACCGAAGAGAATAGTAGATACTAGGAATAAGTATGAGATGCTGTGGCTCACACTGCCCAATCTTTACGTTCAGCTTGGTACCATCGCCGCATAGGTCATGAGTTGGAATTTTTTTTCGTTTTGTTAGGGATGTACCGGATACGTTAATGATTTTCTTCATATTCTAATTAATTCTTAGTTTAAGTTTGTACCACACTAAACCACCTAATCCCAAGATCAATGGGGAAAAAACATCTTGGAATCAAATTTGTGCACTGCCGTGTAGGTCCGGTTCTGAGACTTTTGAGGCTTGGGACGACCTCAAAATGTGTTCTAACTTCATATAAGAAAAATTATTTGTTTTCACATGTAAGACTTCGATAAAATTACACTTAGAAAAACACTTCAAACTCAATAATTTAGACATAGAAAAAACTAATTTATTTTGTATTGAAAGAAGGGAACCAAAGACCCACGGGCTTACAAGTAAATAGATGATGAGTTTTGTTTCCTTTCTATTTGAACTTTTAAAGTATTTTTATATAACTCGTGAGGTGATTTTTCTTATTTACTTTACCTTGTCAATATGGGACTAAAAAAATAGTCATATTTTTGAATCTTTAGTTGATATATATAGGCAATGAACGAGACATGCATCCATTAATTTCTTGAAGGATTAGCTAGGGATACCAAATTTTTAAACCAAATTTTGTAAACCGTATGAAGTGATTGTTGATATTGGATTATTACTTAAGTGTTGATTAACGCACTTATTTCTTATTAGTGATATGTCATTTGTGTTGCAAACTTGGTCTAAAAATTTGGTCTACGCATTATGCTTTGTTGAAGGTTAGACTTGAATTGGAATAAATGTCTGAAAATTGCAGCCCACACAACTACTAGCTAGCAATTAAAAAGAAAGTAACAACCAAAGAAAAATTGGTAAAAAATGGAAAGAATAAAGAAAAGCACATATCATTTCAAACTTAAGACCTTTCGTTAATTTTAAACCACAGAAACCATTGCTTCTGATTAAACTTCTTGATCATTTAACCAAAATTTTAAAAATTTATACTCTTACGAAAAGAAACTCCAAACTTTTAAAAATTTTATACTCTTATGAAAAGAAATTCATAAAAAATGGAACATACCCAAGACCTCCTCGTTAATTTTAAACATCATGAACCACTACTTCTAGGTAAACTTCTTAATCATTTGACCAAATTTGATAAATTTATACCCTTATAAAAAGAAATTGGTAAAAATTAGAAAGTAAATAAACATATAGCAATTTGAACTCCTTGTTAATTTTAAACAACATAAACCACTAGTTCTAGTTAAACTTCTTGGTCATATATCCAAATTTTATAAATTTTGTAAATTTTATACTTTTATGAAATTATATGAAT